TATGACACGTGGAGTTTATCCTAAATTTACTTGGTATTTACAGTAGCCATTCGTGTTAGCTAGTTGGCCTTACCCAAAGGAAAAAATAAACTTCTAATGTTTTTGACAAACCTTTGGGTTTGGGCTCTCACTGTCCTGTTGATACCTTAGCCAGGTGTTTGTTTGTTTTAAATTGGAATTACTAAAGCCGGGGAGGGGCTATTGTCAATTTCATCCTGTAAAAGCGTTTTGAGATTCTAGAGACAAAAATCAGAAGCTCCAGAGAATCCTGCAGTCAATTGCTCATTCCGAGGTTTTGTTCGCTCTGCAGACGCTGGACTCCGCTGTCTGCTGTTCTGTTCTCAGCTTGAAATTGTCCGGTTTTATTTTTGTTTGGTGTAGTAGTGAGTGATTTTATCTGCAAAATGAGCTGACTCCTAGATTTAAGGCTCTGTGGGGTACCGCTGACAGCATACGCCGTAAGACTTTATTTACCTCAGCTGAGCAACATTATGAATTGTCTGGCAAGGTTTTGTGGCCGTGTGAAGCATAGGATTGTAACAAAGCCAAAGAATCAATTTAGCATTGTTGCCTCCTCTCTGAGGCTACCGGCAAGTCATTTACGTTTCACATAATTATAAATCCCTCCAGAGGGACAGATTTCTCTCCACCTGCTTTTTTTCTTTTTTCTTTCTTTCTTTCCTTTTTAATATTTTATTTGTTTATTTGACAAAGAGAGATAGATCACAAGTAGGCAGAGAGGCAGGCAGAGAGAGAGGGGAAAGCAGGCTCCCCACTGAGCAGACAGCCCAATGTGGGGCTCGATCCCAGGACCCTGAGATCATGACCTGAGCAGAAGGCAGAGGCTTAACCCACTGAGCCACCCAGGCACCCCTCCTTATTTAGTTATTGATGGGTAATTTACTTATTGATTGTCATAAACAGTAATATATTTAGTTAGCATTATGGCTATGCACTAATAAATAGATTTTACATTAAGCTTATTTATTAGTAACAAACAACCGTGACTAATGGCTGATGCTGGGGAAACGGCGGAACTGTATTCTCCAGAGAAGAACTTCAAAGCTTTATCTAAAGATTCCATCACAATTTTCTGGATAAATGTAGTGACACAGCACTGCCTGCTGGTTCATAGTTCTGAGGATGAAGCCTGTAAGTGAATGGACTAATAAAATGAGTTTAATGCTGGGAGATAGCTTGTGCCCTCACCCAGGGACAGACTATTGGCTATTCTGAGCACTATGCAATCTTATGTCTTAAAGGCCAGTCTAGGGGCTCCTGGGTGGCTCAGTTGGTTAAACGTCTGCCTACTACGCAGGTCATGATTCCGGGGTCCTGGGATAGAGTTCTGCATGGGGCTCCTTGTTCAATGGAGAGCCTGCTTCTCCCTCTCCCTCTGTCTGCTGCTCTGCCTGCTTGTGCTCTCTCTCTCTCTCAAATAAATAAATAAATAAATAAATAAATAAATAAATAAAATCTTAAAGGTCAATCTAGGGGTGTGTGATATTGTGTTTTATAATAAGATATATATATATACACATATATTTGGTGTTTGACCCTGTCCCTGGTACCCAACTCCTAAAACACTTGGAATGTCCTTTGCTAAGAGTACTCAAGGTATTTTTTGTTACATTAATGGAGTGACTTGCAAAGCCCTTAGGTAACCTAAGGCTGAGGTCGATTGCCAGGGCACCCACCCCCTGATTAGAGGGTTGGAACTTTCAGTACTCCACCCGCAGGACCTCTGGGGAGCGGGGAGGAGCTAGAAGTTGAATCAATAGCTAATGGCCAATGATGTCATCAACCATGCCTATCTAATGAAGCCTCCTGCATAAAAATCTGAAAGGACAGGGTTTGGAGAACTACCAGGCGGAGGACACAGCCAACTCCAGGGTGACAGAAGCTCCCGTTCTTAGGGTCCTTCCCGACCTTACTCGTTTATCTCTTCATCCTGCTATTCATCTGTATCCTTTATCATATCCTTTTGATATAGTTTTGGGATGTTGGTGTGTTCGGTGGGGTCCAAACCCAATAGTCAAGAAAGAATTCTTGAGACATCTTTGGTGCAAAAAGGTGCAAAAATGTAGTTTTGAGATGTTGGTGTGTTTGGTGGGATCCAAACCCGACAGCCAAGAAAGAATTCTTGAGACCTCTTTGGTGCAAAAAGTTGGTTTTACTAAAGCACTGGGACAGGACCTGTGGCCGGAAAGAGCTGCTACCCCAAGACTGATTGTGAGGGGCAACGGATTATATACTTTGGGGTGAGGGGAAGTAAAGATATGGGAACTTCTGAAAGGATTTTCACATGTGAAAGAAGACTCATGGGGTATTGTTTGCTGTTTGTCCAACCAAGGTTGTTTTTACCTCCAGCAAAAGGCATTAAAATTAAAAGGGCTGGGAGCTTCTTGCAGGAATGCTGCTGCTCTGCCTGCTGCAAGAATTTGTTGATGGGCTTCAGGTTATAAGGACATTTAATTTGATCTACATTTCCTTCTGCCTTTGTTTCCCACACCACTTTAACAGACTGGAAATTTTTTTTTTTTAAGATTTTTATTTATTTATTTGAAAGACAGAGATCACAAGTAGGCAGAGAGGTAGGCAGAGAGAGAGAGGAAGGGAAGCAAGCTCCCTGCTGAGCAGAGAGCCCGATGCGGGACTCCATCCCAGCACCCTGAGATCATGTCCTGAGCCAAAGGCAGAGCTTAACCCACTGAGCCACCCAGGTGCCCCATAACAGACTGGAAATTTACGTAACTCTTTCCCTGTGTTCTATGAGCTGCTTTAACAAACCTACGGAGAGGGTTGTTGGAACCTCCAGTCTGTAGCTGGTTGGTCTTAAGCTCAGGTGATAACTCAGGCTTCCCACTCCAGTCCGAAGGGGAGGGAGCTGGATGGAGAGCAGTCCTGTGGGACTGAGGCTTAACCTGGGATCTGATGCCATCTCTGGGCAGATGGTGTCAGAACTGAGTTGGCAGAATGAGAGCAAAGGAGACTCACAGGGAAGAACCACCCAGAGAGGATCTGGGTTTTCCCTACATAGGAAGAAAAACAGATTTTCAATTAAAGCCAGGCTAGTGGGTGCATTGACGAGGTTGCTATATGGTAAGCCCAAGTCACGGTTGTATATATCTCTCTGTGTAAACCGTTAGGGGTCCCCAAGACAGACGCGGCTTTGGGACACAAGTCATTTTAGTCCCCAGCTATCCGTCCCCCTGCCCCATCCCTTTCCTGAACTTTGCCCTACATGCCCCAGAATCAATGCTTGCAGAACTTCTTAGAAGGTGTCAGATGACAGAGAAATGCAAAAACCTCAATAGTTAAGGATTTCAAAGGAACCCAGGGGATGCAAAAACTGTAAAAGCCTCTACCAGACCAGGAAATAGCCCAAGCATATCAGAGAGAACAAATCCAGGGTAAAAACTTCCAGTGCTGTTTTGAAGGGGAACAAGACCCTGCCTTCCTTACCCGAGATAAGGAGCCCAAGACCCCACCTGGTTTATACCTGCTCGTGAAGCACGCCTGTAGCCCCTTCCGCTTGCCCCAGTTGCCTCTGTTTCATGAGAGTGTTAAAGTCTCCACACTAGAAGGAACACACCCTCTATTAACATAACCTAGGATTACCATGCGATACGTTTTCTACATTCATCTGGGTAACCTTATGCCCACCGTTACATGCCAGGATGAAGGTCCCTTTTCTGAATATTTGTCCTAAATCCTAAATAAAAATAACCCTCTCACCCCTGCACAGGGAGTCACAGCTGTGGAAATCATTCCCCATGACTTCCTTGTTTGCAGCCAGCCAAGTTTCCTTTGTGTGACAGCTCCTCCTGGTGTCAGTTATCATCTCGGTCTGTAACTCACAAAGGAGCAAACTCATGCTAGTTCAGTTACCAGGGGGCAGTTGTGAATTTATGATTTTTAACTAGTGGCCCACGTACTACAGATTTGCCTTCTTTGTGGTTAAGATAGATAAAGGGACAAAATTGTCTATAAGAGTAATTAAGCAATGTTATGTAATAACATCTGGAAGCTGGTATCAGTAGAAAACTATGCAGTGATATCAATTGTATTGATGAGGGAACAGAAGACCAAAGGACAAAGGACAAAGCAAAAGCTGACACCCTCCAACTTTCTCCCACCCCCACTCCTGGGTGGGACATATGTGACCTTTAGGAATTTCCCACCCATCTTAATGTTAATACCTTGCTAGAGGGAGAAATGACCTTGGCAATGGCAAGGCCTCAAGTATCCATATCTGGTATCTTTGTAGGTCCTCTTTAGCATATGAAAGTTCTGTTGAAACTTCCCTTTTCCCTACCTCCCCCCAACTCCAGGGTACATAACCTGCCATCGCTCACAACCCAGGCAACAGCTCTTCCTGCCCATAGGTCCTGTCCCCGTGCTTTAATAAACCACCATTTTGCACCAAAGATGTCTCAAGAATTCTATCCTGGTCATCGGCTCTGGACCTCGCCCCACCGAATCCCACCTAGATTCTAGAACTTCATCAGTATGGTTATGTCTACAAAAACATGTAATACAGAAATTACCAAACATTGACCTCTGGTCACTGCTCTAATCACCAAGGATGTGCATACAAGGAAAATGTTTCTTTAGGGAAGGAATGGATACTTTTTTTTTTTTTTTAATATTTTAACTGTTTATTATTTTAAAAATTTACAAATCAGTATGAGAGAAACTCAAGAAAATTAAAGGGCCTTGTATTTGGCACCCTAGCTTTGGGAACTTCTGTCAGAGCACAGGTAAGAACTTGCTGTTGGTTCCATGTATCATGAGCAAGTGGCTAACCTTGTGTTAGAGGAATTACAAATAAGTTTGTGCAGGAAACCCATCTCTCCCTTTCAGAGAGGTCTTCATGTCCTAGCAGGCCAGACTATAATGATACCAAGGTACTAAGGTAGATATTCCTAAAAACCAAGTTTTCTAGACTGTTCTTCATCCTTTCAATAGTATAATTTAAAACTTCAAATACCTTTGACTAAGAAACTGCAACCTTCCATGTAATGTTGCTTTTTACTTGGGTATGCATCAAATGCAGTAATTTCCAAAGCAGATCTGATTTTACAAGACCAACTTAATAAATATTAACTTTATCTCTACAGCATTTGTTTATAAGCAAAGTATTACTTTGTTGGGGCTTATCTCATCTTCAGTGTCTGGGATAGTGGGCAGCAGAGCAGATCGAGTCAAACCCCAAAATTTTTGAGGTGACATGTCTTTTTTGGTGGCCGTAAATTTCCATCCAATATGGCTTGCACAGATCCTACACTGGGCGATAGTCCAAGCATACCCAGGAAACCAGCTGTGGTCTGTAGAAGGCCGGCCTATAAGGTTCAAGTTGCAAGCCTTATACACGGTCAGTGTCTCATGCACATATCCATGAGGATTCACATAAGCTGCCATTGGTCCACACAACGATAAACTGAATATTTCATTTTTGGTTGTTATTTCTGTTTCTTGACATTGTTTACAGCAAAGAGATGTACATTTATTCATAATATCTAGTTCACAGCGAAGTCGTTGGATGGCACTACCAATTTTAAGGAGCTGAATCCTTAATACATCATCAATAGGAGGACAAGCAGCTACTCTGTAAGAAAAATCTATTGGATTTGAAGGAAGAGAATCATCTTTTAGATTTTCATCCCATTCACGCAGCTGTTTCTTGATTCTATCCATTAAAGTTTCAGCATCATATAAGGAATATAGCCAGCGAGGTCATGAAGTCAAATTTGCACAATGAAACTTTCTCTTCTGGTATTTCTGCCACCATTTACATGAATACTGGTCTTCCCATGAGACAGGTTTTGAAGGAAATATCTGGCATTTATTGAGGGATTCTAACTGAACTGCAGACATCGTTGAAGGCAACGCACATTCAGGAAGAATTTGCACTTTAGCTTGCTGGATTCCATCTGACTGTGTTCTTAGCTCAAGGACTTTGAACCTTTGTCTTCCAATTGCTTTCACTTTCACTATCTCAATTCCGAAATCCTGTTCTTCTCGATAGGCATATATCTCTGCTGTTGTTCCAAACTGTGCTTCCCTCTCCTGTATATTACTGTATGCAAGAACTGCAAAGGTTCTGTCTTTCTGAATTAAATTCCGCACCATATTGACTTCCTGAGGACGAAAAAGCTGAAGAGGTAAGGTCTGCCCAGGGATCAGGATCATCATCACCTGCGGCAGAACTGGAATAACCTGACAGCTATCGTCACCGTGCAAAGTCCTGCCATGAAATTCTTCCATATCAGCACCCAGATATGTATGTGACGTTGGCAGACTGGTGTCAAAATTTATGACGTTTGGTTTTTTGGCTTCTTTGCTATCCTGGTCTTCGACTTCCATTTCAATTTCATCTTCTTCCTCACTCTGCAGGGAGGAGCGGCAGGTGGTCGCCCATGTTGTGCGCGGCGTCCTGCGGGCCTCTCTCGCCAGCCATGTCTGTTTACCCGCCGGAATGGATACTTTTAACTGATGTATGGTACATAAAATATTTCCGTCTCTTTGCCACTGCTCTATAGTATGACAAGGGCTTGATAAATTCATGGGTAGACAGTTCTCTTCTGGGAAGAGACATCATTTAAGAAAGCTGAGACCAACCGATTAGCTGCCTTGAGTATTACACGAATTGGGTCTTCAAATCAGTGAAGGTGCACACACGAGTTGTGTCTTTCCACAATGTCAGCTTTACTCAGTCATTAAGGAAGTTTAACGCAATTGTAAAACAGGGTGAGAATTCCAAACTCAATGACATTTCGTGGCACATTTAACTTGGCTTCTCACAGACCACACAAAGCAAAGCACGTGACAAGTCATGCAACAGTAAGATAAACAAGGGCTAGAAAGTTAACAAACCAAATGTGAGCGCACAGTCAAGATGAAGTCTTGGTTGGATCTGACTCAGATCCAACTTGAACTTGCTGCTTCCCACGTTCTAGCGGGGAAGGATCTGTTCTGCTCAGAGATCACTCAGGGTGAACCTTCCACAACCTTTTGATGTGGTCAGACACGAGAGGGTCAGCATCTAGAAAGTCCGACAGTTCGCTCAAAAATCCTCCCTTTTTATAGGAGTTTCATCAGTCTTGGCCGTTTGCAGACTTCCTCTGGTTCTGCTGGTTGTCAGTTCTGGGTGGGTTAGCTGTGCTGGTTTCGCCCATACCCGGTCTTAGCTCAATACCCTTGGCTGCTTGCATCACTGATTGACTTAAGTGACCTCATCTTGCTCTCTACATTCAGAAACAGAAGTTAAATTTAGTATTAAAAAAATTACAGTGGAGGGATGCCTGGGTGGCTCAGTCAGTTAAGCATCCGCTTCCACTCAAGTCAGTCCTGGGTCTGGGTGGAGCCCTACCTCAGGCTCCTTGCTCAGCGGGGAACCTGCCTCTCCCTCTACTTGCCATTCCCTATGCTTGTGCTCTCCCTCCCTCTCTCCCTGACAAATAAAATATTAAAAAAAAAAATACAGTTGATAAAATGTCTCCAATAATACTTGTAAAAAATTTTCTAATTACCCTGGGTGATGAAGAGAAAAGAAATAATTGAGCTATTGAGAGACGATGAAAAGATTTGTAAAGGGACATAGTCATGATTAATACACTTTATAGAGGGAATCCAACTGTAATAAAGTATGACAGAAGTTGTAAGACAACGAAAATACATCTGAGAACTATATAGCAAAGAGATCACACACGTCATATGGTGTGGGGCCATAGCATACTACATGTTGCATTTGAGGGTCCAGACTTTTCCTGCTTCACATCGGCCTCACAAATGCTTGTATCCTTGAAACTATCAGGAAAGCCTGATACTAGGGAAGACCTTCTGATGTGAGGTGTCTGGTTTGACCATCTAATCTTTTATGTTGTCTTCTCAGAGAATGTTTAGAAATTATTTGGCTAAAAAAAAAAAAAAGAAAGAAAAATATCTGACTCAAATTCATTGTGTTATAGATGAAGAAACAGAAAAACCTTTTTTTTTGCTTCTTTAGAATTTTTGCTTCTTAATCATTAATTATCGTTACATATGAATAATTTGATTTCTTATAAATCACCTACATTTGATCTATATCATATTGCCATTTTAAGTTCAGAGTCATCATCTTAGCGATGCCAATGACCTACTTGTCACTAGGAGTGAACACTTCAAATTCAGATTTGTTTATCACCACATCTATGAATTGGCATATAGACCTTTAAATTCCAAATTATTGCTCCTGATACTTAGCTCCTTTGTTTCCTACTAGGATTACTTGAAAATCTTTCCCCCTATGTTGTATCTGCTCTCTGTACTAGTCAGAGTTCTCCAGAGAAGCAGAACCAATAGGGTGTGTGTGTGTGTGTGTGTGTGTGTGTGTGTGTGTTTTAAGGAATTGGCTCACATGATTATGTGATTATAGAAAGAGGCAAATCTGAAATCTGGAGGGTGGGCTGGCAGGCTGGTGACCATGCAACCCATCTGTTAGCAAGAATTCTCTCTAGCTTGGAGGAAGTCAGTCTTTTGTTCTCTTCAGGCCTTCAACTGATTGGGTGAACCCCACCCACAATATGGACAGCAATCTGCTTTACTCAACATCCACTGATAATTTCATCCAAAAACACCCTCACAGAGACTACCACAATAATGGTTAATCCTATATCTGGACACGTGGCCCAGCCGAAATGATACATAAAATTAAGTATCACAGTTTCCATAGGACCCATCTTCCAGTTTTCTTTGGATATTTTCATCTCTTTCCTGCAAATTTCATTTTGTATCTTTATTGTTAATTTTTACAATTCTCCAGCAAACATATTTGTTGGGAAAACACTGGGAGTCACACACATCTGGTCCTATGGAATAGTACTTGTGAGAACAAAGTCACAGAGTATCAACATGAAGTGTGTGTTGCTATAGTGCTGCCTACAGTTCTGGAAGAGGACATGGGGACCTGGTCACAGCAGACATCAGATGCTAGGAAGGGCAGAGACTCTGCCACGATGTGGTATTTCAGCTGCATGATAAGCGAAGCAAGAGCTGCTGTATCATAACCATGGGTTAGGATCCATCCCAATTTTGCCACTTCACATTCATTATTTGGAAAATCATGAACCCCTCCTCTGGTGTAATGAGTGGTCTAGGCTTTAAGTCTTGCATTCTTAACTATATATCATGATGGGCCAGTGGCCTGATCTGCCTCCTTGATATCCTTGAATTAATTGCCTTAAGGTTTTGGCTCTAGTTGCTTTCCATAAAGCTCCGTTGGAGGCCAACATCTTCTCTGAACAAAGAACCTGGAAGGAATCAGACATGGACAAATTAACTCTTATTTAACTGAAAAAAAAAAAAAAAAGTTTCTTTCATCCTTCATGAGATGGTTAGCCACACATGCCTCAAATTGCTTTCATAGTTTATGATCTGAAACTCAAAATCCCTTGAAACTATCTTAATTAGCCATCTATCTCTTCATTTTTCATAGTTAATGTTTTTATATCTCTGTCTCCACAAGACTCAGCCATTATTTTGTCAGATGAGTTTTGACATCTTCATAAACATACTTCAGAAAGCCAGCACGCATCCCACTGATGCTTGTCAGATCACTTATTAGGTGACACGGGTGCTTTTTTAATAGTGTCTCAGTCACTAATCACAATACGTAGCTCTCTCCTCTGGGGGCCAGATGGAAACATGCCTCCTGTTTGGTTTGGCCTGGGAGATTTTCTTACTTTCTCGAGTAGGGGATCCTATTGTTTATTTAGAATGCCCTCCTGACTGCATATTAAGTCACCTGGAAATTGTGTAAAACTATCACTGTCCCACTACAGATCAACTAAAGAGTATCTGGAGATGGTGAGCAAGAATCAGTGTTTCTTTAAAATTCTCCAGGTGATTCCAATAGGCAGCCAGCATTGAGAGCCACTCTTGGTGTGCTTAACCTCAAATTCTTAAGATAAAATGAATCACTGACACATCTTGTTAAAGCTCAGATCCTGATCAGTACGTGTGGGGCAGTGCCTGGGAGCCTACCTATCTAGCAGGTGACACTGCTCCATGGACCACACTTTGAGTAGAAAGGTTTTTGAAGTTCTTGGTTCCTTCTTAATGGTTTTAATCTCATACTGAAACATGGTTTTCCTAATACGTCACTTTTATTTATGTATATTCATCACGTGCAAATTTTATGGACACGATGTATCTCTCTCCTGTTAAATAGCATAATCCCTTTGAGTTGTGGCATTGGATTTCCTGGTTTGTTTTTTTTTTTAAAGATTTTATTTATTTATTTGACAGACAGAGATCACAAGTAGGCAGAGAGGCAGGCAGAGAGAGGGGAAGAGAAGCAGGCCTCCTGCTGAGAAGAGAGCCAGAGATGCAGGGCTCCATCCTAGGACCCTGGGATCATGACCTGAGCCGAAAGCAGAGGCTTAACCCACTGAGCCATCCATGCGCCCGGGTTTTCTGTTTTTATACCATCTAGATATTAAGAGTTGAAAATAAACTTAGAGATGACCTGGCTGGTGGTTTCAGATGTGTTTCCCAGAGCACAGAGTCCGGAGAGGGACTTGAGGGAGGTGTGAGAGGGTGCAGGCAAGACAGGAAGCTTCATCTCCATCCCAATGGGGACATTCTACTTCTGTTATTTTGTCCTTCAGTGTGGTATTTCAGTTGAAAAGTTTTTTCAGCTGAAAAAATAATAGAAAAACACTCCTTTTGTCATTTCAAAGATGAAAACTTGAGGCGCTTAAGTTTATTAAATGTTACATACTTAAGTTTATTAAATATTCAATAACAAATTCATAGTTTCTGATAATAAAAAAATCACTGACAATACTAAGTTATAGCACATGCCAAGTTTACAATATCAAATGGACTAAAACGATCTTGTGCATATTTTGCTTTTAGTGTCCTTAAGATGCCTGTCACATTGGTGTTTGTTTATAGATGAGTCATCAAAGACATAAAGGAAGCAATTTACAGAACTACTCCTAAGACTCCAAGCGTATAGTCAATAGTGCAGTAAACCAGGGAATGAAAAGATGACATTGTCTGCAGATACATGACAGCTCAGCAAATGAGCACAATGCGAAGCAGATACTGCCATGCCCTTCCCTTTGTCCCAGCTGTTCTAAGCACTATAGATTTGTATACTGAGCAGAAATTACAGTATACAGTATTTTTCCTATTACTTATAATTATCCTGATTCTCTTAGGGAAGAGAAAATAAGACCTTGATCTGCACACTAGGAGCAAAATGATGGCCTTGTGGTCTTTCTAAAAGTATCCCCTGCGGTGTTTGAAAATATCATGTAGTATTGCCATTGGGCATACACAGCAAAGCCATATTTAAGTAAGTACCATAAGCAAAAGAACTTAACAGGGTATTAGCAAGGGAAGATTTAGCCTAGTGTGGTCCTCCTCATGTTCATGTTTGGAGAAAACAGAAAACAAGGGTTTTCGGCTGAT